ACTTGCAAGGAACTAGAGCTTCCCTCTCTCTCAAATCAATTGTATCTCTCTTTTTATCTTCGTTGCGGATAGGGATCTCTAAAAATAACTGTCTTACACACGCCACAACAGTCCTTTCTGATCTTATTATTAAATGAGCTCTGTATTTTTCTACTACTATCGGGATTTAATGTATATCATATTGCTTCTATTTATTTATCGGACATTGGTGATTGATTTACGGAAATAGATAGCGACGCATAGATAAACAGAGACAAACAACCAACAGATAGGTAGATAGACAGAGAGACAGATAAAGACAGAGACACAGACAAACAAGATATTGAGGCGCAGCAGAGTCGAACACAACTAGCGTGAGCATCAATAAAATATCGGTCATCTTTCAGACGACGTCCCAGCCATGATTCCCCTGCAAATGCAAATGGCAGTAATCCGAAACACAGCCAAATGCTATCACAGCGGATTGTGACACAAAATGTTTAATTGTGCAAGATTGCACTACTGAAACATTTACTAGATTGTTTGACCAAATGTGCGGTCAGGGTTCTTGACAATTGGGATCGACTCAGCTGTTGGTGGTTCCATGGGCTGATGAGCAGCTGTGCTCAGTGATAAGCCGTACTGACAAACAGACCGTGGATCACTCAACCTTGCGTCGTTGCGGCCCCCGTCCATGCATTTTCTTTGTGGCGAGGATTCCTCAAGCCAATTGTCAGGAGCTCTCATCCATGCGCTTCAATTTAGGCTTTTGTTAGTACCTTGTTGATTTGCAATTTTTGCCTTGCTTTCGGATCTGTTTGCAGCTGGAACTCTGGAATGCGCAGCTTTCTCACACCCATCCGTATGTTTTTGCAGGCCATGGTTTTCTGCGGCTGTGGACGAAGATACCTAAAGTCCAGATCCTTGAGCATGCTATGCGCGCAATGTTGGAGTATGGGCAGTTGCTCGGTTGGTGGCCTGATGCAGATAAGGGCTTAGACCTGTCACAAGGAGAGCTCCATCCGCCATGGTACCACCATCTCTGCCCTTTCTGCCTAAACCCTGGGCAACGCCTGTAGCGCATTGAATCTGATCCATATGTCGGTTTCCTTTACCAGATACAGCCACTTCAGCTCGGAGTCCAAGATGTTCTGTTCCTCAAGGATTTTCTGTCTCTGTGCTGACTGAACCACTTGAGACGTGCTGGACAGCAGCTCGCTCCAGAAAGTTTGCACCATCAATGATCGTAGGGACTGCTGAATCTGATGAGCTTCTTTCAGCTGATGCGCACTTAGCTTGATGAGGGTTGGGAGGAAGCTTCCATCCCCACCTTGAAGGAACAGCATGTGCTCCCTGTCCATGGCCAGGCTCTGAAGGCTATCCACGTTCCTGACTGTTAGAATGGCTAGTTGTCTCGCCACCTCCACAAGGTCCGGGGCATCCGCTGTTCCGGGCTCCGGGCGACTCCCGGCTTGGGACGTTTGGATTGATCTCGGGGCGGTCGGGTGTCCCTTCCCCTCTTGGCTGTTGATGGCATGCCTATGTCCAGTGGTGTTGGGCTGCTGAAGCCCAAGTTCTTCATGAGTTACGCATGGGATTGATGAAGGCCCTCGTCCATCTTGGTCAGATGTTGCTGGCTTAGCCTTCCTGTGCTGTGCTACACACTCAGCGCTGAGCCTGTGATCGGCCCACGGCAGCTTAGTCTGTGTGCCCCTGATCATACTGGACCTATCAGCTCTCTTGCGCTTGGCACGAATATTGGCCTTGCCGTTCTTGTTGTTGACATTCTGCTCCCTGAGTTTGCAGGATTGGGCCTGAATGCTTGCGTCTCTGATTGTCGCACTGATGGCAGCATCCTGACTGAGATTGGCACTTTCCGATTGCGATATCTGGTCCTGTGTTTTCTGCATCCGTACCTGAGCATGTGTGAGTGGATCTGTATCAAAGGCTCTCCTGCATGCCGTGGCGTCGTTCTGCGTGGCAGAGTTGTTGTCATCAAATCGTTCCGTTTTGATGCAAACCTTCCTGGAGCTTGCCGGCACTCGAAAAGACTCTGCTGCATAAGTCACCTTGCCGCCTGTCAGGTCTATGATTTGGGTGAACGTCGGGATGATCTGTGCCTATCCGGGCAATGACCTGCACAGCAGCCGTCTGGATGAGGATGGTACACTGATGTATCGACATGTTTCTGGCATTGAAGCCGCACAGCGGGCACTTAGCCGGCTGTCGCATGAAATGTAGTGTCCTACGCAACCCGGGCAGAAGAGCAAGAATCCCAGGCTTAAGCTTCGGGTGGCTGTGGGACATGTGAGCTGATATCTTATTTGTGGCTACCTTCAGTCTGCACACGGAACAATGCGAGAGTGCATTGGGCCATTGCTTGATCCACTGGATAAGCGCTCTTTCACCAGATTCCTGCAGAATCTGATGAGAAATTGGATGCAAAGCCAGTGTGGTGGTGCAGGGTTTATGGGGATCAAATGCCGTGCACGAGCCTGATTCAATGTGCAGCTGTAAATCTTGGAGTGTGCGATGTGCATGCAGGCAATGTGCGCATTGAAATGTTCCGTCAATGGTATCTCTGGCCGGCCTGAACTGCTGCTGATTGGGGCATGCCTCCTGGTGCACCTCACGAAGGTGTCTCTTCAACATGGCCTGATCAGCGTAGTCCCTTCCGCACAGATGGCATTTGACTCTCACTGCCGGTGCAACTGTTTTTGCAGCAGCCAAGCGCTTGTTATAAAATTTCTTCTCCTGCAAAACAGGCACATCAGGGTACTCAGATCTCACAAGTAGATCATCCTTTGCTACTGCTTGCTGCACGGCTGATCTCCTCTGCACTTTCTGCTCCCTTAGCAGTCGTAATCTTTGCCATGGCGTATGCAATCCAAATCTTTCATAGACGCCTTCATGAGAGATCCATGTAGGAAAGGACGTGGAGTTGTGAATTTTTCGTGATTGCATGGTACACAATTTATGGGAGTCCTGCAGTTCGATCCATCCCATGCCAGCTCCAAGTATGCCGTATGTTATTGTGGTCCATACGCAGGCGTCGTACAATTGCAGGCGGTCAACTCCTGCTGTGGTGTTTTCTGTCGCAAAGGATTTTTTGTATCCTCTGGAAGGCGGTTCTGCCAGCCGTCAGCCTCCTGCGAATTGTAAGCTGCTCAAACTTGTGATAAGAAGTTGACAGCACCGAGATAATCATGTTTGATGACAGTAGGAATAAGACTATAATCCTTGTTGGGAAGCTGAATGTTAAGGCATTTCTGTCCCGTGCGTCTCCTGGTTAAGTTGGCTTCAAAAATCCTGGCTTTGCGCCCAACGAGCCTGATAAGTGCAGCTTGCCATAGTTTCTCGTGAGACCTGTGTCAGCTATGGCAGCTATGGCCTGGAACACTGCACCTGCCGCATTCACCGCCCGTTCGGCTTGTTTCCTATTGGTGACCTGCCACTTGAGCATAAAGTCGTCCGCAGAAATTGTCAAGTGTTTTTGAATCCAGCCTTCTCCGAGGTCTTTGCCAAGCCTCCTGAGGAGGTAAACAAGCACTGTGTTCTATATGAGGGGTGCATCCGTCGATCCTTGTTTGATGCCTTTCCGTGCTTCAATTTGGCATTTGATGCGTCTATGCTCGATGGCGTAGGTGCCTCCCTGCATCCACATTAAACGAAGACTTTCAATATCTTGTGGGAGCTGAAGGTCTCTAATGGCAGCTTGGACCACCGTTCTTTTTATGCTATCAAATGCTTTAGACATGTCCAACGAGATCATGATACCGCCCCTTAACTCAGCTTTACAATGGTGTACGCTACGCCATGCGGTGCACTCGAAGCGATTTTCTCTGCAGTGCTGGAAAACTCTAAGCAGACAGTCACTCGTCGATCGGTTTTGGGCATAGGCAGAAATGGGAAGCGATTCCAGCTGATGAAAGAGTAACGGAGCTGCAGCCTGCACCGTCGGGTACGCAGTGATCTTATTGAGCGGATGTTGGAGGCAGATGGGTCTAAGAGAGCCGGGCTCACACGAGGATTTATTGGGTTTAGGCAACAAACACATTGGTGCTTCTTTCCAATTGGGTCGCGGTTTGGGGTCGTGCTTGCACCATTGCCTCTCGAGGTCCTTAAACATACGCGGCGCAGTGCAGGTTGCGTGATGCTTCCCCATGATCGCTGGCGCAACATTCTGGCTGAGTGCTTTATTGGCGGACAGTTTCTCGAGCGCATGCTGAATTTGTACGCAACTGAAGGGGAGCTAAGTAAAGGGGGGGGGGACCCTAATTGATCTGGAAGTTATCATCTTTATAAAGAGTGCCGAAATAGTCCTTCAGTTGCTGCATTGCTTCATCAGGCGACCGGCAAAGATAGACAGAGAGACAAGCAGAGAGACAGTCAGGCAGAGACAGACAGAAACAGACAGAGACCGATAGACGGACAGGCAAACCAGGTCCCTTGGCAGTTCATGGCCCAAAATTCTAGATCGATTTGACAGATGATGTGGATCCGGCGATTCTCAAAAAGTTCCAGAATGTTTTTTGAAACCGGCAAACTTCCCAAAAATCATGGTTGTTGTACGCACATTGTTTTAGAACCACTGAAATTTCCAAGATTAGCTAGTCTAGGCCCCACAAGAGGCCAGGAGCATGGGAAAAGGGACCTTTACCATCCAGACGGACCTGTGCCGGAGCCAAATTGGCCTGGCCAGCATCCTTTCATAGAGGTATTAAAAAGGGGGTCCCTGTATCAGTTTTCGAAATCCCAGCAAGGAGCCATAGTCTAAACTCCTAGCTTCCCCCTATCCCCTATCATAGTCCCCTATATTAATCTTAGACTATTGCTCATATAAACCTTCGAAATGCCAAGAAGGCATATATGTATGGTAGGTTCCCTGAATAGGGCACCCCAATATAGACCCAAAAAACTCATTATACTCCTTATTATGGGGACCCCATAAAAGGTACGCCTAATTTTTGGGAAAGCCCCACTTCTTTCCATCCAATTGGTTTCAATCGTCTCAAGAGTCGTCAGTTCACTCCAACGGTGGCGCCGACCTGGGGATCTTGGCCTTTAAGGGCCTATGGGTTTAGGGTTAGCATATGAGCTACTGTCTAAACTCCTAGTATCCCCCTTAATAACCCCTATAGTAGTCCCCTATATCCCCCCTTTAAGGAGTTTAGACTATAGCTCATATAGGGAAACCCTGAAACCATAAACCGATGAGATCCTCATTTGTAGTATGTTTTTCAAGTAGCTGGGAACGGAAAAGAGCCCTAAACCCAAACCCTAAACCCTAAAGACTCGTCTAGTCCTTGGGGTTGAGGGTAGGGATGGACAAATCGAATAGACTTTGGGCCTACGGTAGGGATTCGAACAGGGCTTAGAGTTTAATGGCACATCAAATGGAGAATCAAAAGGATATGTGGGTTTATGGCTGAGGGCGGTTGGTATGGAATGGAGGAACGTCCCACACGTAGGCCTACTAACAGCCACCACTTGAAGGTTCACTGTACTCTAGTAAGTACTTGTAAGAAGGTTATACCTCTTATACGTGGGGGCAACCCTTATAAGGCCATTAAGGGTGGGGGACTCTTGGGGTCACACGTCCTTAAACCCTAAACCGCAAGTTATAAGCCCAGTGTTAAGTAGTTACTAAATTACTTAGTCCCATGAACCTCCCAGTCAGTCGATAATGAACAGGAAACTTCTTTCCGAACCCTAAACTAGCTCCTCTAAGCCAAACAAAAAGCCCAAAGGCGCAAACGTTGCGGTTTAGGGGTTTAAGGTTAAGGGCTTAGGGGCTTAGGGTTTAAGGTTTTGGAGTTCTCTTAACGAATTCCCCCATCACTCCTACGGTAAATATTCCCCCTGACATGTAATGATACCATGCTGGGCGGGTTTCTTGTTGCGGTTGTGGAGTTCATGTTTAGGTTGAGTGGATTACAGCGATTAAGGCACTTGAAAGGGGTTACACAAACATAGGCTTCTATAGGGGCTAGATGAGGTTGAGGGGTAAGGGACGTAAGCAAGTCGAATAGATAAGAAAATGGACACAGAAATGGAAACTGGGTCGGGTTTGTGGCTACAAAAATAAAGTAGCGGATTGAGAATGGTCTGGAACCTGGATTATGCAGGCGTGTATTGGCTTCCCGAACATTCCTCCCCGCAGTTTGTAGTTTTCTAGATGTATGTAACAGGGTCCTTTGAAATATCCCCCTGCTGCGTGCTGGATGAATCTCTTGATTTATTCCACACGCGCAACAGTGTTCTTCTACAGGATCAATACCCTAAACCCTAAACCTTAACCGCCCCCTAAACCCTAAACCCACTAACCCCTTAAACCCGCAGGGGGTCTCGCACTTGTGGACCCATGGCCTATTGGGAGTAATCCATGCCATAGGAGGGGCCTTGAACATCCTAAACCCTAAACCCCAAACTCTATATTGTAAGGCAGACCGTCGGATGAACAGGCTTCGGGTTTAAGGGCTTAAGGCTTAGGCTATGTTTCCATAGTTTAGGATTTACGGTTTCGGCGTTTAGGGTTAAGGGTGTGCCCCTAATAGGCCCAGGAAAGAATTTCGCAGAGTAAGCTTACCTCTAGTATGCATGCAATGAAGGAATAACAGCGAAGATGGAAACTGCTATATTCCTGCATTCCTTGCAAACAATAGGTAAGCAAGTCCCTGTCACATGTTCTTGCTCTTGCAGCCAGCCAAACACTTACCGAAACCAGGGGTGTCCATACATGGGAGCCAATATAAACCCCTATACACGATAATCCGAATTATAGGAATAGGAACCCCCTAAAACCTAAACCCACAAAAGGGAACCCTGGATTCTTGGAAGCCAGGAGTTTTGCAATCAACCTCCTGAAGCTGTCAGCAAACTTGGAACCTGAGACCCTATAATCCCCCTTCAGTAGATAGAATATGGGGTAATATTTAGGGTTTAGGGTTCGGGGTTATATGGGGATAATGGAAAAGAACATGGAAACTACGATAATGGGTTGGATAGGGTATAGAACATGGAGTATATGGGGATCTTATAAAGCAATGTCCTATCTACTCAAGGGTGACTATAACCCTTAACCCCTTGAGACGCTGACCACGACTCCAATGGTTGCACCCACTGCGGCAGATGTTCCCAGGGCCTCGTCCTTCATTGTCACAGGAAGCTACCCTAAAGTTTAGGGTAGAAATGGAAAAACATTGTAACATAATTGTACCAGTAAGAACTACTTCGCAACATGGGAGTTCCCTCCGAATTTGGGGTACCTTTTTGGGGGTCCCAATAACAAGGACTCTAGTATATTGAGCCCATATTGGGGTCCCCACGACCGGGAAACTACCACATCCCTATGGCACTGCCTGGGACTGTGTCATGATGCAAATGACATTTTCAAATGAGCCATAGTCTAAACTCCTTAAAGGGTTTATCTTGGGGAGTATATAGGGGAGTCTCATAGGGGTTACAAGGGGGGATACTAGGAGGTTAGACTATAGCCCACTAGGTTGGCACCGAAAACCCATTGAAAAATGTTAGTATATATGGTCACCTACTAAAGACATTAGGGAAAATGTTAAGTATCCCAAGGGCCTACCCAGCTCAAATGGTGCGGTCATGGTCGCCCATGCCATAGACAGAGCCTACTTTGAACCCCAGCGTACTATGGTCCCGACTGGCGGTACTTTTGGGCTTAGGGTTCAGGGTTTAGGGGTTCAGGGTTTAGGGTGTATCACCCAAGGAGCCTTGTACACCCTGACAGCCCCCCAATACCCTTGTTAACGGGACCCATAATGTTGGGAAAACCCAATCTGACAAGCTAAACGAAGCAAGAGAGGTCGCCTGGCAGCTGCTGCTAACGGATGTTACCATAATTTGGAGAATCAGAGGGCAAAAAGATGGGGAATGAACAAGAATTCGGGCTTCGTAGGGTGAATGTAAGGGAGTGCAGGGGCCAAATTTTTAGGCCAAATCATTACCAATATCCTCTGAGGTCTATCTGTGGTACCCTATATCATCACTTTACCAGGAATTTGGGACGACAAGTTTAGCAGCAATCTAAGATTATTGAAGTTATTGTAAAAGCTCATTACGCTGCGCCTGACCCTCATCGGTGCTATTGTCGGAGCTATCGTCATATGTCTCACCTCGGTTACCCAGGACATTGCTCAAATATGGTAGTTTCCCAAAATGAGGGTACCCCAATATAGACCCCCAAATAATATAATCCTTATTATGTGGACCCCCAAAAGGTACCCCTTAAATCTTGGGAAACCCCGATATTGAACCAGGCGCAGGGCTGAGTCCCATGCCAAGCGCGTCACCAACAGAAGCCGTGGTCTCTGCAGCCAGTGCTGCAAGAGCCTGCGAAAAATCCAAATCCGCCTTTTGCCCGTGTGCGCGCACATGGTGTCTGCGGCAGCATTTGTCATCTGGCTGGTGTTTAGTGGAAAGCTATTCAGTGAATCTTTGCGAAATCAACTCTCCAAAGAGTCTTGCAAAGCGACCACCTCCATTCAGAGAAGAAGCCGTTGTCTCAGCATTGCCTTCCTCTCAACTATTTTCCTTGCAACCCCAAACCCTAAACCCTAAGCTAGGCCAGGCGGCTAGACCTCACCTTTTCCTGAACCGGTTGAGCAAGGCTTTGCACCACACGGCATGCCTTGACATAGTCTCCGAAACTCGGAATGTGGGCCTCTAGCAATGCACAGGAAATACATTCCACTCCAAGCAGTACTGTGGCCAGACAATTGCACCTTGCTCAAACCTGGAGCATTTGACATCATCCGCTCCTTTTCTAAATGCCGCTGCATGTCGCTGATGCGGCAAAAACTACTGCAAGCGGGCGGTATTTCGCATCTGCTTGTCCAGCGGAAGTGCCTTGAGGCGCGCCTTGCGCATCTCCTCATGAGGTGCATGGCAATAGGGACAGGCCGATGCCTTGGGGCATCTTCCAGAAGAGAAAAAGATGCATGGTGAGCATCCTTCTGGATGGGTTACACTGCCTACAGAAAGACCTTGGAGACTCGGTGTCTCCAGCCCAGGATATCCTGAGCCCTTTGACGCCCCAGCCGAGAAGTCTCCTGGCAGCATGGATAATGAATATGACTCCACAAGTTTGCAAGGGAAAAATCAACCGAGGACCTGTAAATTCGGTCATTAACCCTAAACCGCGTAATCTGTTCTCATCACCCCAGGCCTACATATCAGGTCCTCAGCCATGGCTGAGTTCGAAGTACGCCAATGCAAATTGCAGAGAATATCTACGAATGAAACTGTTCTGATCTCCACCACACAGCCGTGGCCCAATTTTGGAACCCTTCGACCTTAAAATCTTGTCATCCATTACCCTGACTGCGATTTTGTCTGCATGGATTCCTTGTCCGAACGTAGCAGCAGCTCTCTGCTGAAGAGTATTCCGGAAGAAGCTTGTTATATAACGTCGTAGCTTCAAAGCCGCGCAGAGTCAGAATTCTCAAGGGACTTCTCACGGCCCTAAAGGCGTAAGCATCACATGATCGTTTCCGTACATGGGGGGAACCCGAGATGAACCCCGAACATGTTTGTAGTACCACTCCCCTAAACAAATATAAGACCTAATTCTTGGAAACCCCTCAATCCTGGTGGTCGTGGAGGCACGGACCTGTCAGCATCTGACTTCTCTGGAGGGCCTGTCTCAAGAGATCGCAGGTGCAAAGCAATATGTGCGGGCTTCCCAAAAAGGGGATGCCTTCTTGAAGGCCGCTGTATTGAGGATTCTAGCGTTTGGGGAGCTATGTTGGGGCCCCATACATGGAAACTACCACATGGGGTTCCAAGGGATTGCTGCTGGGATAAATCGGGTTGTAGAGGTATGAGAAGGGGAGTCATGAAAAAATGAAATGGAAGCTGGGATAATGGGAAGTCTTCATGGAGCAAAGCCTGAAGGCTATTCAAGCACATATATATATATATATGTATGCTCACACCCCCCATGATCCACCGAAAAGGCGTTGTTCATGAAAAATCGTATTTCAGTTTAATTCATGTACATATATGTAGCCACTTCGTTGAGTCAAGGGATCCTGGAATCCAGGATTCATGGTTGTCCATCTGATTAAAAGCAATACGACTTCCAATTCGAATTAATTCAAATTAGTACTACAGAAATCCCGGATTGAATATAGTAATATGGGAATCCTGGAGTGCTGGACTACTGATTTTGGATGTGGTCCTGGTCCACATACATCCCTTAATCAACTTGAATAGATTTAATACGAAGATCCTGGAATCATAGATTCCTGATTTTGGGGATTCTGGTCTAACTACATCCCTTATAAACTTTGATTAAAGATAACACGAAAATCCTGGAATGCTGGATTCCTGCTTTTGGATTGGCTGCTGGTCTATATAAATCCCTTAAAATGAATTCAGTTCAATACGGGAATCCTGGATTGAATATATTAACATAGGAACATTGGAGTCCTGGACTACTGATTTTGGATGTGATCCTGGTACATATAAATCCCTTGTTAAACTTAATTCGATGTCGTGGAATCCTTGATTCCTTGTTTTGGAATGGATTCTGGTCTCCGACAAACTCCGATTAAAGATAACACGAAAATCCTGGAATCCTGGATTCTTGGCTTTGGGATTGGCTGCTGGTCTATATAGACCCTGTATTTAACATGAATTAGATTCAATACGTGAATCTTGAATTGAATATACTAATATAGGAATGTTGGAGTCCTGGCTACTCATGTTGGATGTGATGCTGCTCCATATAAATAAATCTCTATTGTAACTAGTTAAGTTTAATGAGAAATTGGTAGAATCCTAGATTCCTGATTTTGGACGGACTCACAAAACGTTGGGAAAACCAAAAAAACACAAACCAGGGAACTATCGTGGCTCCTGAAAAAATGGTTTTCTTGGTTTTCCTAGGAAAAACTGTTTTTTCCTGAGCTTGGTTTGCATGGGGGGGGGAGGTGTCTATACTTATATATATATATAGCGATTGTAGAGGCACATCCAGGTAAGATGGGGACCTTTAGGGGTCAGATAGGGGACAAACGGGCTTTTATACGGTGATTCCAGAGAGGTGGAGGCCTCAAGACAACCCCCAACATGCTGTAATCAATATTATAGGGAGCCCCCCAAAAGTACCCCTGTTTTTGGGAAGCCCTAAACCCCATATAACCTAAACCCTAAGCCCCATATAACTCCTATGTATCCCCCATATCCCTAAACCCTGGGCCCTGCCTGGGCTACTTTGGGCATCTGCCATCAACTTCGCAGATTCGCCGTCCTAGGTTCTTGACTGGCCTTTGGTTAGCTGGGAATGAAGGAATGGAAAAGAAAATGGAAACTACGATAGGTTTAGGGTTTAGGGTTTGGGAGGACTGGAAAAGAAAATGGAAACTACTGTAGGGTTATATAGGGACGATTAGAGGGATCCATTCCTTCATTCCTAGCCAACCTAAGGCCAGTTGACTCACGTGAGCTTACAGTTCAAAGTCCTTAAAGGGGTTATATAGGGTTTAGGGGTGAAGGTCTAAACTCCTTAAAGAGGTCATATAAGCTTTAGGGCTTAGGGCTTAGGATTTAGGGTCTCAACTCCGTGAAGGAGGTTACATAGGGGATTATACAAGGAAGCGTTTAGACTATAGCTCACGTGCAGCTTAGGGCCGTGGACGGATGCGAGGGTAAGTTCTGGATGTGTTCACCTAATTTGGGAGAACGAGGTATGAAGGTCTTAGCCTAAACCCTAAACAGTAATATGTTGCCCTAATTTGGGGTGGTAACCTTTGAGCATGTTACCCATACCCTAGACCAGGGGGGGAAAGGGGGGCACGTGGAGGGAGCGGGGTGTAAATGCTGCCGCATGTATAGGGGTGGGCTCATGGGGATATGGGTTCTAGGGGGATAGCTTCCCTTCGGCTTAGATCCAGCACGCATGGAATTAAGAGTGCTTCGGAGAAGGTGCTCTCTGAAACCCAATGCGAACTAGATTTCGTCAGGACTACGTCCGATTACACAACCGACAGCTACCAAGAACAACTATCGCACCTGATATTAAGCGACATTCCCCGCGCATACTAGAGAATCCAGACCCAGAAAAATTATCCAATACGGAACCGACTGAAATCCAACTAAAACCTAATGAAAATTAATTGAAGTCTATTCCAAAATCAACTTAGAATCGAGTGAAACCTAATTTCAATCCAATCCCAATCAATTGACATCGAATCAAATTCCGTTAAATTCCCAATAGAAACGGATTGGAACCTATCGAAAACTCAACTCTTTCATTTTTGTTGAGTCGATAAAACCTACTGCAAACCAATAAACATCGAACTCAAGCCCAGTCAAGAATTGCAAGTGGAGTTTTATATGTATAGATATATATATATATATACATGTGTATATATTCCTTTATACAAACACTATATACATCAATAACACCTTAGGAAATCAGGGGCCCCAAAGTCCTTTTGATTCCTTCTTACAACCCCCCCTTACCGACCTCAGAAAAATCACTAGAATAATCGCACCCTTGTAAAAATACTCTTCGGGATTGTTAGGCTTGTGTATCATTCAATGTTAGGGGAGGTTTTCATTATCAGGTGAGGGGTTTGCAAACAACAAGACCTTGACTCATGCTCTTGCCTCAGACAATCCGCGTTTAACAGGAAAACCTTTGCAATATTATTTCGAATACTAAATAAGAATGAACATGGAAAGATAGTAGCAATAGTAATTACCCAACCTCCCGATGGCTCCAATTAGGCACGCGCATCGGACTCAGCAGGCACGGTGGGTTCCGGGGCTCCATTTAGGGGACTTGGTTTCGGCTTGGCTGTATACGGAGAAGATGATAAGCCAACACACCAACACAAAAGCCATCAACACGTAGACAACCTCATGGATGCATAGGGTTTTGTGTTTCGGGTTCGCCAACATGATTTGAGCACTGCAGGTGCATGCGCTGAGATACCGATCATCAGCCAAGGCACTGATGATGTATCTGATGCAGCTTTTGTGTCCTAGGCCATGCTCATTTTTGAGTTTAGGGCAGGTGAAGGGTAAATCTGGGTCTCCTTTCATACCCTATCCCTAAACCCTAAGCCCTGAGCCCTAAACGGTCTAGGGTTTAGAGCTCCTAAAAAAGATAAGGTCAGCAAGAAGTCTACGACGCATCCAATCTTACACTGAAGCTGCCACCACAGGTGCTAGCGAGACACCGCAGCACTACATCCGAAACCCTAAACCCTAAATCCTAAAAACTAAACCCTAAACCGCACTGGGGATGGGGTCTTTCGGCGTCTCATTGCATCCGACGCGATGGTCCCAGCTTTTGCATTTGGAGTTTCCCAAATAAGGGGACCCCAAGATATTATAGTCCTTCTGAGAGGGATCCCACAACAAAGGCACCCCCAATTTTAGGAACCCCCCATTTGGAGATTCAGATTTTGAAGCTGTAGGGCTGTTTGGCTTTTCAGAGGCTCAGGTTCATCCGCTGGGTAGGAGTGGGGTGAGTTCGTGAAATGTTGCGGGGTTCTGGGATTGTTCAGGGTACAACCCATGGACCACCAGCAGAATCCATCAGATAACTCCACTTTCCATGCCTTGTACGGGGTTGCGGTTACCAGGCACCCCTACGCCCTCAAGACAACAATGAATAGGCATCAAAAGCGTGTGCCTTCACGAGAGGACATGCAAGATCATCCCAATATAACCCCAATATAACCCCACTATACTAAAGTAGTTTCCATTTTCTTTTCCATTATCCCAATATTATCCCTAAATCCATATTACCCCAAAACCTTCAATTTGCCCAAGGCTTCGTCGAAGCGGCTTTAGTGCCGTGCGAAAGTCTGCCCCCTGCTCCCAAGTAGTCCCAAAATTGTTTGAAAGGCACCAGACAGGCCAGAAATGAATCGCAGTTTCCGTGTTCTTTCCATTATCCCTATATTGACCCTCATAATCCCCACCTAAACCCTAAACTTGTCTGGGAGAAGTTCTAGGATTCTAGGATCGTCTGCGAGACTTCATAAATGGCATGAAGCAAGGCCCCAAGTTTGTTTGCCCATTGGGCTGTTCTCAAAATTCACGACTTGTATAGTAATGACGGACAAGAAAGTGGAGACTACTATAGTATTTAGGGGTTTCGGGGTTTGTGGGGGCTGGATGGGGGTTTGGTAAAAAGCTTCATGGGTAAGCTGCTGAAATTGGGGGAGGTGCTGGGCCCGACCTGGTAAAATCAAGACACGATTGTCAACGTATCTAGTTGCAACAGATGCCAAATGGTTGGTCGGGGAGACATTGGACCAGATTTTTCTGGCGTCTGGGCGATAACTTACGCTCCAAAACAGCCCCCGATGGTCTCGGAGTCTCGCAGGGCCCCAGACATGATCCCAGAAGGCCCAAGCCCGTTAAGTAGATAGAAGGGGTTATATAGGGGATTATATAAGGCGAAGGGTTTAGGGGCCCCTTAAGTGGATAGAATATGGGGTATATGGGGATCTTATTATAATATACCCACAGCCATGTTCTATCCACTGAAGGGGGACTACATACAATCCTAAACCCTCTTAACACGGGCACCAGTCGACTCTAGCTTCTGAGCGCTCAGTCAGGTGTCCTGGCTTTGGGCTTTCGACTTCGCGAGACTCGTCAGTAAACGAGAGGGCGTGTTGCCGCTCTTCCTTTCCTTTCGAATGGTCAGTAAAGATTCAGACAAGGAAAGCACGTGAGATGGCTGTGTTTGCTGCAGTAAAATGACGCGGGAGACTGTATCTTGTCTTGGTGGACATCCCCCTAGACGTAGCTGCATGCTAGAAATCCAAAAAGAAGTTTTCTCGCACTGATGTTGACAAGGCGACAAATGCCCGCACTGACTGCCCCAATTTACCAGCTGTGTGTGTGCCAACTCAGCAATTGCCAACCACAATGCTTGGACGTATCTCTAAAATACGTATCAGAACAGCACTGCCAAACTACACCCTATACCTTAGGAGGACCCCCCACCCTGTAATAGTGGTATAATAGGATTATAGGACTCTAATATGATCCCTATTATCCATAATAGTCACTATTACAGGGTGGGGGTCCTCCTAACCATACCCTAAATCAAAGCTGGTATGGCTTCGGCGCCTGCTTGGTCTCCTGCTGCTCTGTCTCCTCCGTCTTTGTTCGCATTCCTTGCGGCACGAACTCAGGAGCGTTCAAGTTGAACTGCGTGCTGGGTGATGGCCGCGCATGAAAAACTCCTCCAGGTCACCCAGAGGGTCCATGTACCCAATAATTGGGTACTTGCGTCTCGGGTAATAGTATTTGTAGTACAGGTTTCGGACAAGTACATAATTATTAGGTACTTGGACCCTTAGGGTCATTTGAGGTGTGACAACTTTCAGTCCCAACTAATGTAGACCCGTAATTAATACACCCCCTCCTTTTCAGGGCCTTCATCTTAGGATCCCTATTCCAATCCCTATTAAGGGGAGGGTTTTTTTTTAATCAGGGGTCTGGGTTACTCCCCCAGTAGATGCAGCTCCAAACATCTCGTGCGCACGTTGCTGGCTTGACTGATGTCTCTTCTGCAGTGAGCGGGCTTTTACCATGAAGAAACTCTCGTAGCGCTCAGCAGGACTGAATGCAAAAGGGCAGGTTAGCTTGTCCTGGTGGACGTGATGGCGCTGCAGGCGCTGAAGCCAGCATCTCGAGTCCCCTCTCCGATGCATTGGGCGGCCTGGGCACATGTGACTGATCGTGAACAAGCTGTGCCGTCCCGCACCCTGGTTCATGGTGCCTCCCGCCCTGCCAAGTCTTTCGAGCAGACGTGAAATAACGTTCGCGTACAAACAAGCAACTTGTGCAAAAATGTCTCTCTTCTCCTGCCCGCCCTGTTCTTCAACTCGGACATGAGCCCTTGTCTAAACTCCTAGTATCCCCCTTAATAAGCCCCATAATAGTCCCCTATATGACCCCTTATGTAACCCCCTTTACGGAGTTCAGACTATAGCTCACATGCAACCAACCCCCTCAGCTCCCACAGCCAGGTGCTTCCCCAGGAACCTCCAAGTGCCAGGCGGTCTTGCAGGAGCCTACATGGGGGGGTTTAGGGTGTACGGTTATTGGGGATATATAGGGGTTATATAGGGGTTATATTGGTGGTATATTAGGGTTGTATTCGATTGTTTTGAGCATTGGAGGAAAAACATTCGAAGTTGCACGGGCGAAGTTTTGATCCAGAGCATCTGCCTACGTTAAGACTGCCTGAAGCCCCAGATGCTTGGGAAATTCCCAAAATTCAGGGTACCATTTTGGCGGTCCCCATAATAAGGATCATAGGCTTTTGGGCTCTATATTGGGGTCCCCTTATGTAAGGAAACTACTGTATGGCTTTAGCCTGCTCTGCGCCAGGTCGACAAAAGAAGGGCTGCGCTGGCTGCTGCCCGTTGTCGCCACCACGCTCGGAAAGGCTGCTGGCAATCTCGCTATCACTGTCAAGGTACCTCAGAATATAGTCGTTTCCATTTCTTTTCCATTATTCCAATATAACCCCAATATAAATCCTATAATTCCTATATACCCTTATAATATATGATTCTTGAGGGCTGAAGCCTAATGGGTCTAATCATCACCAACTTGTGGGGGCAACGTGGCGATTCATTCAGCTTGTGGAACCCTCTATACTATATCATACAGTAAGTATGCAGTTGTGGAAAGTCATGTGCGCCGATGTCTACAAACCAAATGCGGCAAAGGAGAGGGTAGCCTGATTGAGCATCTCTTCTGCCAAAGCACGGATTCCAAAATGCTGGCCCTCGGTGGCTGCTGCAGTCACTCTTGTCAGACGCCTCCGTCGCAGGATGATCCTGAATCGCGAATCCAACATGAGACATGCAAGGACAGAGCTATTAGGGGGACCATTATGGGGGGTTACCTATAGTATGGATGATATTGTTTTAGGGGTCAATATTGGAGCCCCCATACTTTAGGAAACTGCCGCATGTACTCCAACATACATGCCACGAGTTTGAAACCTCTCGCTCAGCTCAACATGTCTAACACAGCACCTGGCCTTCGACGACAGGGTGGCAGCACCTTCCATTGCTTCCTCCCTTGGAGGTAGCGTATCTGATGCAGAAGCCGGAGCAGTCTCCGTGAAGTGTCGCGGGGGGGCCGCCCCACCTTTTGGGGGCTTGGCTGTGGAGTCGGCAGAGCGATTGATTTGCTTGCTGCCATCTGCAATCGGCGCAGGAGCAGCCGCAGGTACATCAGCATTTTTGATGCTTGCACCTTCGCTGCAATTGCAGTCACCCTCCATACCCTACATGCTTCCCAGGAGGAGGAGTTATGTCTTACTGCCTGCAAAGCTCGCAGTATCAGCAAATAAGCTATAGTCTAAACTCCTAGTATCCCCCCTAGTAACCCGTATAAAGCTCCCCTATATCATTCCCTATATATAGCCCACTTTAAGAAGTTGAGACTATAGCCCCAACGGCCACGCTGCACCTGGCCTTCTGCGGGCATCCCCCAAAAAAGTCAGCGCCGGCGAGGAAGCTCCCCGATGAGCATGCAGTGGCGTTGCCAACCGAAGAAAAACTCACCGGACGCTTCTTAACGGGGGGTTAAACCCCAAACCCCAAACCCTAAACCCTGAACCACAAACTGTGGGGAACTGACGGGCTGCTGAGTCACTGAGGTCAGCGAGTATAGTGAGAAAGGATTTAGGGTGTAGGGGTTTAGGGGTTCAGAAGATGTTGTGGAACTTTGTTTAGGGAAGCTAGGCTAAAGGAGAACCAGTGATAAGCCCAAGAACCCTAAACTTTGGTACCACTGCAATGTAGACTCTAAAAACCTTAGCCCAAGGACCCTAAACTGTAACCCTAAACCTATAGTTTCCTTAGACCTAGAATAAAATGGTATTTTTAAAGGGCTCCTCAGGGTTATACTAGAATGAAAATTAAGAAGAATTCCTAAGGACAGTACAGAAACCCTCAGGGACAGAATTGATATAATCGGGAGTAAGGTCGACCTGAGCCACCTGGCGGCGGAATGATGAATCTGTTTGGTTTAGGTGAGCAAATCGCAACGCCTCAGACGGAACCAGATTTCAGCTTATAGTCCACCTTAAGTAGATAGAATATGGGTATATGGGAATCTTATTACAACATACCCAAAGCCATATTCTATCTACTTAAGGGGGACTATAACGTCTGAGTACTGCCCCCAGCCTGCAACAGCCTATATTAGGGTTTAGGGTTTTGGGGTTTAGGGTTACGAGCTATATGTAACTGTATGATAGTTTTTATCCAACTGTTAGAGTAGGGGCAGTACCAAATGTATTGCCATGCCTCAAGTGAGGCTCCATCCACTAATGGTGACCACCACACGCTTCAGGGCTTAAAGTCTAGGTTACCGGAATTATCTTAGGACCCCTCAACGATACCATGATAACCCAGAACCCCTAAAGTTTTAAAGGTCCAAAAAATGGAACCTCTTATAGTCCCCTAGTTTCCCCAATGTATTAATGGGGGTTTTGTTTGGATCCCGTAGGGGGTCTTGGAAGTGGGTGTGGGCCTGTAGCCTAAAAACAGTTTCCCCATTCATCGCCCGGGTAATATTGGGATAATATAGGGTAATATGGTTATATATAAGGATAATGGACAAGAAAATGGAAACTACTGTATAGTATATTGGGGTTCTGTAGTTTTTCTTTTTTAAGCGCCCCTTGTAGGGTTGAGGTCTAGGGTTTAATAATGAATGTGCCCCCGACATACAAGGGTGCTATATTGAGAGCTTTATTCAGGATAGGTGATTCAATGAGGCCATGTGAAAAACTCGCAGAGGTGCAACTATGAGCTGGGAGCGGCGCAGTGCTGTTGCTCGGCAGATTTCCAGAGCTTGGCTTTGAATGCTGGCTCCGGTTGTGCTCTTCCAACACCGAGGTGTTGCGAAGAGCCGGGAGCTTCCCGACTTGTGCAGGCCCAGTGTGGGAGCTATGCTGGACAGTGGCGTGTCTTTGTTGCTTGGTGCTATTCGAGGCGCCGCGCGTTGAGCTGTTGCTAGGGGCACCTAAGCCAGTCTGAAGTTGAGACACAGCTGCCTGCAAGGAGTCAAGTGGGATGTCTCCGTGATCAACACTTCAGAAGCTGCCTAGACTCCTAGACCATCTTGATCTCAGGTCGCGACTCCTCGCAAGCCTGTGTGGCCTGGGTGAACCAACTCTTGGGGTTCTCACTCCAGAAATGACCGCTGCAGCTGCCAAAGGCAGGAGAGGGCATCCAGTATGGATGCAGACTGTTGAATTCAAGCTTTGGATGATAACATGTGCTGGCCACTATGCAACGACTACGAGACCACGGCACTTCAGATGACATGACTCATTGTGTTCATGGTCTCTATTGTTGGACGCACCATCATAACAAACAACCTGCTACATCAAATGCTGGTCCTAAATCCTAAATCTGGGAAACCCCCCACGTAGAGCCGTCTGCTACATGCCAAGGGGCAACGCATGAATAGACCCATTACAAACTGATCCTGGGGGGGCCCATACTCGGTATTGTACACTGATTATTTTGAGAAATCCCAACTTAGGATTGTAGGGCTGGATGGCTATATACAAGCCTGTAAAACCCTATACAGCCTCCATTAAAAAAAAAAACCTACGTCAGCTAACGTCTAAACTCCTAGTATCCTCCTTATTTTAGTAACCCCTATAATACTCCCTATATAATTCCTTACATAACCTCCTCTGAGGAGTTTAGACCATAGCTCAGATAAGCCTCAAAAAGCCTATGCATCCTGAATCTAACCCTGTATAACCCTAAATAATCCGTACATTACCCTATATAATCTCCATATGATCCTAAACCATGGGCGTTACAACAATACTTGTTAGCAATACCGTACCGCACCGCACAGCTTACCGCACCGAACCGGCTGGGTAGAGAAGGGGAGTAGTGGTGTAGGGGTGTAAGGGTGTAGGGATGTAGGGGTGTAAGGATGTTGGGGTGTAAGGATGTTGGGGTGTAGGGGTGTAGGGGTTTAGGGGTGTAGGGGTTTAGGGGTGTACGGGTGTACGGGTGTAGGGGTGTAGGCGTGTAAGGATGTTGGGGTGTAGGGGNNGGGTGTAGGGGTTTAGGGGTGTATGGGCCTAGGGGTGACACCGTAACGCACGTTACCGGAAAGAACAATACTTGCAATACTTCTTGGAAGTAATACCGAGAAGTTTGTATCGTACCGCATCGGTTCGTGACAGCCATGCTAAATAGACCCTTATAACCTTTATGTGCGTAGGACCTCTATGCGTTATTTGAGTAATCTCTTTGTTATATACATATATGGAGTCCAATCCAAGACAAATGGAAATGATGGCCAGGCGGTCCCTTATCGAGTTTTATCATTTCTAAAAATTTCGAAAATTTGTAAAAATGTACAAATTTACAAATTGAAAAAAATTACAAAGGAGCCAATCCTAGAAAAAATGGAAAGGGTGGCCAGGCGGTCCTTCTTAAAATTTCAAAATTGTAACATTTTTTGATTTCTCGAAATTTAAATTTCAAAGGGAACCTATCTTAGGAAAATTTGAAAGGGTGGCCAGGCGGTCCTTTCGAAATTTTTACGATTCTTGCAATTTCAAAAAATTCAAAAAGATTTCGAACAATTTAAAAAGGAACCAATCCTAGGACAATTGGAAAGGGTGGCCAGGCGGTCCCTTTTCAATGCTCAATTTTAGATTTGTTCAATTCTCGAAACTTTTACGAATTTCTAAAATTTAAAAAGGGAACCAATCCTAGGAAAATTAGAAAGGGTGGCCAGGCGATCCTTTTTGAATTCTTAAAATTCGTAAAATTTAAGAGAAATTCCAAGCCCAAGGAACCAATCCTAGGATTGGTTCCTCTATGTTTGGAAAAAAATGAATTAAGAACTTTTCAAAACTTAAAAACGACCGCCTGGCCACCCATTCTAATTTTCTTAGGATTGCTTCCTTTTTAAAATGTTAAAAGTTTTGAAATTTTAAAAAGGACCGCCTGGCCACCCTTTCCAATTTTCCATCTTTAAAATTTTTGGAAATTTTTGAAAATTGTAAAAACATTTGCAAATTTAAAAAAGGACCTCCAATTTCCCTAGGGGTGGCTCCTTGTTAAATTTCTAGCAAGGGTCCTCTCTTTCTTATTGGGTTCTTGATATGAGTCCTCTGATTTTCATTCACGCTTTAGGTCAGGAATCCTCTTAAGAATCCTCCCACTTCCACTAGATAGTGGATAAAGGTCTGTGTCTAGAGAACACAGAGGTTTCACATCTATATATATATATATAGCAGAATGTTGAAAATAATTTGAAAAGAACCACTCATTCCTACTACATGAGTTCCCTCACTCCTGACAGAGGCTGGGTAGGAGACCTCTCGTTTTAATCAACTTCTTACTAAGAATTCTTTCACAGTATCAGATTCTCAACTGGACTCGTCTCATGCATGCTATATTTATGACAAAAGACTCTGATATCTACTACATTCCTACAAAGAAGCCGTCGCTCTCAGTATTTTCTGAAAAGGAATCTTCTCACGTCCATTAGATGCTTTCTAAAAGTGCTATCACTCTTATTTGAATCTTAAAGCAACCCCTCTCATTCCTGGACCTAACAAATTCTTCATAGAAGTCCTGACATTTCTATCAGATTCCAAGTAGCCACCCTTTCAACATATTAAATTCTCGCTAGAACTCTTCGAATTGCCGCTCGATTCTTTAGCAGAAGCTCCAGCACTCTGAATAAAAAGAATTCCGTCATCCATGATGAATTCTGAATAGGCCCCCTTTCATTCTCTCTAGCTTCTTAATGAGGCTCTTTTGAACTATTCACTCATAACAGATTCCCAGTGGGTCTTGCCTTTTCATTGTATACAATTCCCCGTAGGACTCTTCTCATTCCCGATCCTCTGACTAAGAACCCCCTTGCCCAAAATGAATCCTGAATAGGCCTCCTCTCTTCTCTCTAGCTTCTTAATTCGTCTTTTGGACTTTTCACTTGTATCAGATTCCCAATGGGTCTTCTACTTCCTGTCAAATTCCTCCTATTTGGTTTTAAAGAATGTGCTGAAAGGCCTATTAATAACTTCAGACAAGTATTCTCCTTCTCAGTGGTTTGTTAATTGAAGTCCTTCCATTTAAATTGGATTCGTACAGAGGATTCTCTTTTTCCTATTAGATTCTCAGTACGAGTTCACTGTGAGGTAAACCCTGATATAAGAGTTCTTTTGTATAACCCCTATGTAACCCTATCATATCAACTCTTACGGCAAGCTTAGTGTGGGGCAAATCTGTTCGAGGCGGCTCGCTGTGAAGCCTCGTCTGCAGAAAGACCACGTAGGACCTGAAGACCCCAGGGAGCCCAATACCCCTTGATTAAGAAATCTTCCTTAAACCATGCGTTTAGGGTTTAACCATATTCGGAATCCTAGTATGATATAAGGTATATGCCTGAATTAAGGGGTATTGGGCTTTCTGGGATCACGCTGCATGCAT